CCTGTCAGAGAAGGAAAACGCAAATATTTTTCACTAAAACAAGCAACAGAAAAGCGCTAAGACTGTACCCCGTCAAAGGCAGAAAACTTGTAAGACCCAGAAAAACAAAGCAGTCCTGTTGAATTCTGGGTTTCACAGGTTTCACAGTATTGTCAAATTATAAAAAAGGGTATTGAGTATTCATGTATATTCACAGCTTATCTAGACTTTGGCCCAGGGAAGTCCATACTATCATAACCTGGTTTAGCCTACATAAATATAGTAAGAGTAGAGCTTGTGGTATTAAAATAAAATGAAAAGACTTTTGATGCGTTAGTCAATAAGAGACTTCTCTCTTTGTATTTTGAGAATATGATCAGATAACCTCAAAATTTTTTCCTAGACAAAATCCAGGAATTCTGCAGAAAACAGTACGTTCTCATGTGAGGCATGGTTATGTAGTGGAATAGGTGTCCAGTTCTTCAACGCAATAGCATATCATTTCACCTAACATTTGAGATTCTTTTTGTGAGTGAAAAATAATGACCCAATGCATCAGTACCATTGCTTTAGTCACACCTCATATATTACCTAAATAAAAAAGGTTATCTAAAATAATTTTTTTAGTAAAAGTTTTAAAACAATTCACCCTTGGAGTTTGTTTTCTCTAAACCCATATACAAGTTAGTCCCAAAAGGAATCACATTCAGGAATCCAAGAAACCCAGGGAGAGAAACACACAGTCACACACACAATTCATCAATGACAAAGAAGTCAGCAAACTGTTGGAAAACAGAGAGCTTGTAATAATGAAAAAAGGACAGAGTTTTGTAACCAATCACTTATTTTCTTTTAAAAACACATAACCACATTAACGTTTTGCTTTATACAACCATCTAGAAACTCTAAAACAGTACCACGTTGTGCATATAACCTACTTATCATGAAGGGAACTCCACACTTCCTAAGAATTCTACCCATATAAGGAAAAAGGAGACAGCTAATAGCATAGTCACAGATACAACATGAATCCAAAGCAAGCATTAATTCTTTGACGTCACCTTTTCCGTTTATCAGAGTGAAGAGAGCAAGAGAGAAAGAAAGTAAGGGAGAAAAAAGAGAAAGCAGCACCCACAGAGGACTAATCACATTTCATAGTTACTTTTGACAACTACAGCTCAGGGTTTCATAGAATAGTATCATTTGACCAACACAGTGTGGCAGGGGGAGAGGGTTTGAAGACAAATACATTTTTCACCCAATTCCTCTCCTAAATACTCTTCGTTGATACAAGCTTCTGTGCTAATCTGGAAACTAGCAAGAAATTAGTCTTCACGATGTGATAAAGCTAGAATTTTGCTCTCTTTGCAACTGCAATGTAAATGGCTCACAATTTTACAGTTCAAAAGAGTAAGAATGTCACGATCAATTTCCTTAGGGATGTCCCAGTGTCTTTTTCCCCATTCCCACCATGCTGGTATTGCTACGGAACAATCTGGGAAGTGCGGTAAGGGCTTCAGAGAGAATGATCAAGGGATACTGAGATGGGATCCTTGCTCTTAGAAGTCCTCATATTGTGGTAGCACTGCAGTCTTCCCTCTAATTTGTGGTGGTACAGGGGAAAGAGCACAGGAAGAACTAAGGTAATACGGTGCAAGTTTAGTCAAGTAACTGACTTGAAGGTATACAAAATGAGACTGTGTAATTACCAGACATACTGAATCCAAGGCAAACAACAGGTTATTTGATTGTCCTCCTTAGGATGATGGCACCATAAATAACTGAAGGCGGCTTTGATTTAATAATAAAATAAACCAAAGGTTTGCAACAAGGAAATACACGTCAGTTGAAAATTAGCAGAATGATTCTCTTTACTCCAGGGGAAACTCATTTTGTCCCCCTCACTGCCTCTTCTACCATAAGTAAGCAAATGGATTCTGGGAGGTTGTTTTTTAAAGAGCAACTCTGTATCAGAGTTCTTCCAATTCTACAAGAAAACCATTATGAGTCATATCAGTAGGCTTCTCTCCATTTCAAGGCCAACTGCTTATAAAGCTTAGATTAAGTCTTTCCAAATCTACAAGATGCTTGTACTTTTTCATACTTGGTGAGCAATGTATGGCTTACTGCTGGTTAAATGACTGGTTTTTAACAATGACCAGGACAAATTTCTCAGGCTTTTAATAATCAGTCAAACTCTATCCTGTATTATTACTGTACACTGACTTAAAATACAATGCAGAAATATTATGTGTTTAAGTAACTGAGAAAATCTTACTGTAAGTCTCTGTGCTTCACCTAATGGCCACAAACAAGAAATAGACCCACCAGAATAAGAAAATGAACTGAGGTGATACATTTGATTGATTCTGCTTTACCTACTTTCTCAAAAGTTCTGTAAGAACTTCTAGTCTTCACCTAGTTAAAACAGACCTTACCTGTGATGACGCTGGTTTCTTATCAGATCCGAGATAAGCATGGCGGTTAAGTAGTTGAGAAAGTCATACATTTAATGATTACTTTTAAACTTTGAGAAACTATTTTAATTTTAAAAATTCAAATACGTTATATTGTCAGAAGTTATTTTTGAGAAGGAGTTAGGCAAGTTTCTTACAAACTACTAAAATAATTGTAATTTGAAATGTTTACCAAATAAAGTGCAATCACTTCATGAATAAAATAATGGTATGAAAATAAAGGTGGATCTCTACCAGCAACATAATAACCACAGAAAAGAGATGGCAAGTCATCACCTACCTCCCTGTCATCAAGCTGACATTTTCTTAACTGCCCTACTTCTGCTGCCAAGATCTAACACCCTCCTGCTCTTCTCTGTCATCTCCAAAATTATTTTTATTCAACTAAATCCCTTGTAAGGCTCAATAATAGGTTACTTTTTTTTTTTTTGCATTTTTAACCTTGCCTTAGTTCACCTGTTAAGAGATGGATGAACTTCTTTCTCTAGTTATCCTGACTGTACTTTGGTCAAACTATGGTGGAAGGATACCACATATTAGCAAGTTTCTTCTAGTAAAACTCACTTAAAATCTCAGAACTATTTAGACTATTAGGAAATCATGGATCCTAGGGGTGAAGCCCTATTTTCCCTTAAGGTCTCCATAAAGATTATAGTCTTGGAAACCCTATGGGGCAGTTCTACTTCATCCTACAGGGTTGCTATGAGTCAGAATTGACTTGATGGCAACTGGTGTGGTTGGTTTTTTTAACAAGCTACTGCTGGAGTGACTGGCACTGTTTGATACCCTTGCCTCTGAATATGAAGCTAAGCAGCTTTCTTAAGAAGTCAAATGGTAGATGCTGGAAAAGTTCTTCCCAATCTTACAAATGACTATTATAACCTAATTGTGACATCATTTTTGATCATTTTGCTGCCTCTCTGTATGGTATGAAATTACCAATTATTCCATTGTAATAGTGTATGCATCCTTAAATATAGGTGCTCATTTGCACATAGAAAATAAACAAGTTTTCTTTGTCTCTAATTTTTCTACACCTATCAATGCTTTTAAAACTATCATAAAATGAAAAATGAATTTTATGTCCTTTATTTATTCTACTTTTTTATTCCTTTGGGGAGTATTTTAACTGATACCATAAACTGAGTGTTTCTAAAATAAAAATAAACTAGAATTTCTAAGCCTGAAATCAGACTAAGTTTACCTTTGGTTGGATTGCTTCTCCTTTGAAATGACTGCGATTTCTACTAAGAGTTTCAGTGTACAGGAGTCCAAAAAAACTTTAAGTAGGACATAGCATATGCCAAACTAGGGCATATAAAACTTAAGAGAAAAATGCACATTTCCTTTTTTTAAAGAAAAAATTTAAATGTATACTCTGTTTCCCAAGCTTTTCAATGAAGAATACTTCTCTCATTACAGTTTTAAGAAGAACGTAAATCTGTGTGTTTAAATACATATTTAAGCATCTACCACATAGCCTGAAAATTACATAAGCCTTTTTCATTCTTGATTGAATAGATTATACCAATAGGACAAACACATCAGAAAAGGGATACATTTTAACATTGTATTATCTGTGAAACAAAGATAATACTGTTTAGGGCCTAGAATTCTAACAATTGAAGAAAACCAAATTGGCCACAGGATACAAAGTGAAAACACTAGGGAGAGTTCAAATACAAGATGTCAACTGTATGATTCTATATCATCATATACATTCCCTAACAGAGAATGAAATTTACAGTTCAGATGGCTTTGGATACAGATTAGTACCACCAATTTTATTTGTACAAGAAATGACTGGTCCATTGGACTTAATCTATATAACTCAGTAATAATTACTGTTTCTTGACCGACCAGTGATATTTCCTCCATAGTACAAAACAGAGTAGTTAGGGGGAAAAAAAAAGAAAAAATCCCAAGTATAAATAATGCAATCTTTAATCTACCAAGTGTTACTAAATTGTTACCTCTGATTATTATAATTGATTTGTTTAAACTAAGAAAACCAAAAACTCAGTAATTAAACACTTCCTCTTTAGTTTTGGGCCAATGGGCATGCTTGGCAAAGCACAAAAGAACAATGTCACAAAATTGGATGATTTTTCAGAAAAACAAATATACAGAAAACCCTCTCTTATTCCTGAAATGAACAAATTTTGGAAGATTGTCAGAACATAGATGGAAGAAACTTCCTTAAAAATATTTGTCAGTTAGTTGACGGAATTTTGGAATTAACAGTAACTGTACTATAATCTACTGGAATTATGACAGGGATGAATATAGACTTGTGACACATGGGAGAAGAGCTGAGGACAAAAGGGGTGTACTGAAGGGCAGTAACCATATGTAATAGCCGCCCCTTCTACTTATTTATTCATTTGTCTAAAACTCAGTTGAAAATGACAGAAGTAATTTGCTTTGATGAATCCACTGATGTTGACTTTGAATAGCATGGGCAATTCAAGTACAGAAATGTATATGAAGTAAAGTACTCAGTGTGGCAACTGCTATAAATCTAACAGGTAGAAATGGATCCTCTGAAATCTTCATCTGGATCTAGGAAGGTAATTAAGAAACACTATTTTCCCTGGTATTTATATTAATTTTGTTAGATAATGAAACACTAAATTTAATGCCAACCATATTCAAGAAAGCAAAATCCCTTATGATTCAGGACTTACTTGGATGACTCTGGAACAAAGTGAAAAAACAAGACAAAGCAGTGGAAATATGCTTGTGTACAGATTATGATAGTCTAAAATTTCCAAGAAATACACTTTTTTTATCCATTACCAAGTTTAGACCCCCAAAATTGCAAAGCAGATTTTCTACTGTGGAAGAGCATGAAATCTAATGTTCATCCCTTAAAAATGCTGGGAGCAATGGTTGCCAAACTCTGTTTCATCAATGTACTATGGAGTAGGAAGGATTTGTTCTACATGCTCAAAAATAAGGTTTCTGCATAACAGACTTCTAATTTGATCAAACTGTGGTTCAACTAAGGGAGCCCAGAAGAAAAATGAGGGTGGAGACTCTGAAATAGCTTTGTATTCTAATTCAGAGTTAGTAAAGGTTTCACTACAATTACCCTACACGCTGACAGAATAAGGCATAACTCAATTGTTATGAATGGATATGGGCAAATGTATTCCACATCTGTTCCTTAAAAAAAAAGCATCAGAACTTTTTATGTAAATTTGAACCACCTGTGTGAAAGTGTGTTAGAGAGAAGTACTGAGGATTCTACAGCAGCAGCAACTAAAACAAATCAGTAATACAAACTTTGGTTTTAAATTAAAAAGAAATGAAAAAGCCAAGCTGGTGCAAGTTGTCTCACGAAAGAGGTATTGTGGGACTGAACCCTCGCAAGTGCCGTTCAACATTAGTTTCCCATCTTCTTTCACTATCATCACCTTCATTGCACAGGAGTTATATCATCCTCTTATGGTTAAGTTTCATAAATAATGAAAAAACTATATGTAACAAATACATCGTATTTCCCACCCACCCAGCAACCCTCCCTAAAATAAGAAAAGTTACATCAAATTAAAAAGTAGCTTCGTGAATGAAGGTACTGCTCTAAGTTGCACTTTCCCTGCAAGTGCGGCCAGTGCCTTTGCGCTGGGTATGAAGGAAAGGAAAAAATTCTCCACATAAACTGACAAAAAAAATTTAAAAACCAATGTCCGGTTTCAACCAGTCAAAACCGGGCCAAGCGGAAGCCGAGATATCTCGGTACCGTCCCATCAGAAGGTCCTTGTGTCCAGTTCTTCGTCCTGATAGGTATCTGTGTCCTTGTGATTGTAAACAATCCATAGGAAACTATGTTTTTATTCCTTAGAATGTCCTCTGATTGGCAAAATGAAGTAAATATTTGTTTTAAAAATAGAAAATTAAAATTAAACCAGAAGAAAAGAAAGGAAACACAGTGAGCTTGTTTGGAGTCCATAGGATCCGATCTGGAAGAGCTCGGAAAATGTGTCATGTGTCTTCTGTTTCAGCTGGACAGGTACTAGAGGTCGCGTTGGTCGAGGAAAGAATTGAAGAGAAGGAAAACCAAGGATGTTAATCTAGACTTCTGAGCATTCAAGTGTTAGCTTCATCATCTGTGTCTTCTATCAATACTTTAGTGTCACGAGCCTTGGATCTAGTTGTAATAAGAGGGGGAGCATTTAGTCCTTTACTAAAAATACAAACACATCCATAGAATTAGGTACATTTTTCATCTCATTACCATTAAACATACATCCTCCATAGGCACTATATATTGCAATTAATGGACTATTCCTGGGGTTTCATATTCAATTTCCGGTGTTACTGGAAAAACACTAAGAAACTAGATTGCATCCAGATGAAAGCAACAGGAACAATGGCAGGTCATGTGTAATGAGTAGTAAATCTGTAAGAAGCTCTGAGCTTGAGTACTGACTTTGGTTTTGTGATACAAATCTCTGACATCTTTGTGTGCCAGTTTCAATCTCTGTAAAACAAGAATAATACTTATTTCACTTAACAGTACTTTACTTTCATCTCATGGGGACAGTGTGAATATCAAATGAGAAAATGGATATAAAAATATTAGTAAAGCATTAAATAAATATAAGGAATTAGGAAGATGACAGAAATAATGCCATTGAAGTATGCTTGAAAAAGGGGCAGAGTTACCCAGCAGAAGATAAGACCTAAGGAGAGGCATGACAGTTGCCTGTCTTCAAACAGCTGATAAGGTATGAAGCAGAAGAGAGGAGACATTCTCAGTTATGTAAGAAAACCCAAGTAGGATTAATTGGTTGAAGTTATCGTTCGTTTCAGCCAACATACACTATCACTATGGAAGGAGATTGCCCAACCTTCTTTCTGAGGAGTGGCTGGTGGGTTTGAACCACCAGCCTTCTAGTTAGCAGTCAAGTGCCTTAGGCACTATGCCACCAGAGCTCCCATCTATAACTGCCAACAATAAAATCAGGTGTCCCGTATGTGACAAACTTCGTCACCAATGACTATTATCAACTGATGCTTTTAAATGGTATTTTATTGTATTATAATGTGCTTTATTATTTTATTAGGATGCTGTAGAAGAGATTCTTGAGAGTAGAAATTGTTACTGTTAACTGTAATTGTTACTATTAATGTAATGGTAATGTTAAAATATTATGCAACCCATAGAGCCCATGAGGTTTTGAAAATAGGTTTTGGTGAAATAGGCATTATTATTCCTCCTTGAAGAGTGGAAACTAACATTAAAAAAGATTAAGGATGTGTTAAAGGTCACATGACTCTTAAAGTCAGTACTCCAACTCAGATCTTATTTTAGATTCTCTTCTTTCTCCCTTGCTCATAACCTACTCCATTGTTCTAAATATCTTCCTCTGGCTGCAATCTACTTTCTCAGTGTTTTTCCACTGTTGTTGTTGTTATGTGCCGTCGAGTCAAACCCAACTCATAGCGACCCCTCCTTGGGTTTCCGAGGCAGTATGACTACGGAAGTAGGATTGCCCAACCTTCCTTCCGAGGAGTGGCTGGTGGGTGTGAACGCCAGCCGTTTGGTTAGCAGGCAAGTGTCTTAGCCACTATGCTACCAGAGTCAGACCCGACCCATAGAGACCCTTCCTTGGGTTTCCGAGGCGGTATCACTATGGAAGTAGATTGCCCAACCTTCTTTCTGGGGAGTGGCTGGTGGATTTGAACCGCCAGCCTTCTGGTTAGCAGTCAAGTGCCTTAGGCACTGTGCTACCAGAGCTCCCTTTGCATTTTTTGTTTTTCCACTATACATCTGAAATTGGACATCATAATCTGCCTCCATGTTTCTGAGGCAGAAATAATGTATGTTTAGATTGCCCTCTTCTGGTGACTAATAAGGATTAGACTTTCAACATCAGGAGCTCAATGACACAGCCACTTGTATCTTTTACTAGTAGTAGTAGTTGTGTGCCATCAAGTCAGACCCGACTCATAACGACCCCTCCTTGGGTTTCCGAGGCAGTATCACTACAGAAGTAGACTGCCCCATCTTCCTTCCGAGGAGTGGCTGATGGGTTTGAACCACCAGCCTTCTGGTTAGCAGTCAAATGCCTTAGGCACTATGCTACCAGAGCTCCTTTTAGCCCTGTGCAAGTGCTTTTCTTGTTGAACCTTCATGAACCTTTACCTCCTGTTTTATTGGTTTTAAAAGAATCATGCTTTGTTTTGATGCTCTTCCTGCTGACCTTCCTGACCACTCTTTTCCTGGCCCTTCATTTGTTGATTATTTTTTTCCTGCTTTCTACAATTTTTCCCCCGACTTTTCTTCCTCAGAGAACTTCCAAATTTCTATCTAAAGTCTTACTTACTAAGTTAAAGTCTTGCACAATTGCTACTCTACTCCCTTACAACCAGTGGCTACTGTTAGCACCTCTTGTTTTTTACTGTAAGCATCCTAATCCACACCCTTACTGTCCCAGACATAAGAATTCTGGGAGCCATCTATTTGGTCTCCTGGCTTTGAGTTTTCCTTTTTCTTGCATAGTGCCAATAAACCACCCTAAAATACTTATTTCATAATGTCAGTCTTCTTTGGAAAACTCTTCTGTGACTTTTCACTGCCCACAGGATCAACCTGAACTTTTAGACTTTTACAACCATACTTCATCTATTCAGGTAAATTTTTCTCACTACAATTTCAACCACCTCTTTCTTTCTGCTTCTCATCCCTGCCTTTATGTCTTTACTCACCCTGTGCCTCTAGCGCATTCACACACTCCTTTATCCTTTAAAATCCTGCTTATGCCTGACTTAAGCCTCCCTTTCATTCCAATCCACTGTGCTATCTACTGTCCCTAAATTTCAAATGTACCCTCATATGTCCTACATTTATTATTACTTTTAAGACTACACAAAGTCAGTGACTGATAAAATATTATTGTAGGTATTTAATAAGAAGATAAATAGTAGCTTACACTTATTGAGTCTTTCTGTGGTGGGAACTGGTTTAAATTCCATATAAGAATGAATTTATTCTACTTAACTACCCTATAAAGGAGCTTTGGTGGTGTAGTGCCTAAGGCATTTGGCTGCTAACCAGAAGGCTGATGGTTCAAACCCACCAGCCACTCCTCAGAAGGAAACTGGGCAATATCTTTCATAGAGATACCTCCTCAGAACCCAAGGAAGGGTCGCTATGAGTTGGAACTGAAAGGAATCACATTACTCCCACTTTACAGATGAAGAATAATACAGAGATTAAGTAATTTGGCCAAGATGTATAGATGGCAAATAGCAGAGTCAGGATTCCTAAAGCTTACAACCTGAACATTATTTTTATACAAAACATACTGAAGAGTTAAGTAAAACATATCCCAACAAATTTTCCTCCAGAGAGTGTAACTTTAATGCCAAATGAGTAAGTTAGGTACTAATGACCTTTTTACTCTGTGTGCTCATTAAGACATTCTATAGGTTGGATCACAGGAAATAATTGTTTATTGTTCTTTGCAGTGAAAAATGGTGAGTATAGATAATTCCATTTGTTTTACCCTGATAGCTTCTTGGCTTAGATGTTATCCCATGCTAACCCCTGAAGAAAATATGCCTCCCAGCTGTAGAAGTCATACTCACTGAGAAGCAAGGCGAGGCCGACGCAGGGATATGCTCTGGCTATACTTCCATGCCCGGTTCTTCTGGCGGTTTCGTACCCCATCATCCTGGTCCATCATCTGTTCTAGGAGTGTCTGATCATCTGCATTCAGGGGGGCCACAGAGATGTCCCGCACAGCACGGAATTCACCACAGTTATTCAGATGTTCATTCTCCAGGCGGAAGAAGTTCCACACAAATCGCCTTACAGTGCAGAGCAAGCATAAGCATTTTTTGATTGAGAATATTTTTTGTTGAGAATTACACAGCAAAACATATACCAACTCAAAAAGCATAAGCATTTTTATAACATCCAAATGTGCTTAAAAAAGATTTTATTATATGAAGTAAATTACTTATAAAATTTGAATACACAACTATTATTTTTAAACCTCTGAGCATATCAAGTTTCTACTCATGAAAACAAACACTAGGAGTGAAGGACTAGAACATAAAAATAAAATAGGAAAATATGAGGGGAAGAGTAAAGTAGGCAAAAGGACAGACTCATGGAATGCAGTCTCAGAACACTCATTCTTTCACTTCATTCCACAAATATTTACACAGGGACTACTGTATGAAAGGAAAGGCTCTGAGTAAGTTAGACAAAGCCTCTGCCTTTATAGGGCATAATTTCTAGTGGTGGAGATCAGTAATATGCAAGTAAATAAGTAATTGTTGTTGTTGTTGTGTGCCGTCAAGTTGGACCTGACTCATAGCGACCTCTCCTTGGGTTCCGAGGCACTATCACTATAGAAGTAGATTGCCCAACCTTCCTTCCAAGGAGTGGCTGGTGGGTTTGAACCGCCAGCCTTCTGGTTAGCAGTCAAGTGCCTTAGGCACTACACTACCAGAGCTCCCATCCCAGGCATAGGAAATAACAAGCTTAAGAGGCCCCAAGTTGGAAAGGCCTTTAGTATGTTGAAACAGCCACAAAGTTAGCGGAGCTAAAGTGGAATAAGTGAGGTTAAAATGGCAGGAGATGAAGATGGAGAGGTAGGAAAGGGCAAGATCCACAAAGGCCATAGTAAAGAATTTAGATTTTTAAGTGTGATGGAAAACAATGGGATTTCTGAGCAGGAGAATGATGTGATTTATCTAGTGCACTGTGAATAGAATGAAGGGAGAAAGAATAACTGAAAGAAGATCTATTAGAAGGTTGTTGCAGTCATTTAGGAAAGAGGTAATGATAACTTGGATTAAGATACTAATAACAGAGGTGATGAGAAAGTAGACACACTAAGGATTTAATTATGAAGATGGACCTGACAGGTCTTACTTGACAGGACCTGTGAGTGGTCTTAGGTTTTTGATTTGAGTGAATGGTGACACCACTTATTAAGATCAGAGGACCCAGAAATCCCAATCCTAGAAAAAGTGAAGGAAGGAATGCAACCAGAAACCTGTATACCAACGTTCAGTGCAGTACTATTCGCAATAGCCAACAGGTAGAAACAGCTTAAATGTCTAGGTGAATGGATAAACAAAATGTGGGACACAGACATGATGGAATATTACTACTCTGCCATAAAGAAAACTTAAGTCCTGGTATGCTACAATATGGATGAACCTTGAAAACAGTATGCTGAGTGAAATAAGTCAGTCACAAAAGGACAAATATTATATGATCCCATATACATGGACTATCTAGAATAGGCAAGTGTACAGAGACCAAAGTTTATGAGTGGTTACCAGGGATGGATAGAAGGGAAGGAAGGGAAGGAGACTCAATGGTTAGAGGACACTGAGCTTCTGTTAAGCGTAATTAAAAAATGTGGGAACAGATAAGGGTGATGGTTGAATAAAAGGATGAATGTAATTAATGTCAGTGAACGACTGTATACATTGTTGAAATGGCAAACGTTTTGTTACATATTATTTACCACACACAAAAAACTGTAAGCTCATATTCTACTTTTAGCAATGTCAAATTTTCCCTTCATATTTTCAAGCTATGCTATTAAGTGCATACAAATTTAAATTAGCCATCATAACTGCCTCTCATCTCCAGGTGTGGCAAATTACTTTAGGGCAAAAGTGGCATTAAGGCTGTGCTTACTGTGGGGTTCTTGCTTTCCTTTACATTTTGGGCTATGCTGTTAGATGCTTGATAAATTTTAGGAAGATTAAAAAAAAAATAACATTTTATCTGGCATTTTTAGTTTTCAGCAAGAAGGTTGGGCTGAATAAACCCAGACTGCTAATTGCATGATATGATTCTCAAAAGATTTTAATTTCTGTTCTAAGTCTTGTTATTGCTAAATTTTCACTCCTGACCATCCCAGTGGAACTCAATTATAAAAACATAGCTTATAAGCCATCATCAATAGTTATTTTAACTTTGTAAGTATTAAACTCTAAGACCTCAATTAGAATTTTCCAACTCAGGCTGATGAGAAGTTTGGGAAGAAGTTGGAGAACTTAAACTTTTCAAGTAAAAGTTATAATAAATTCTAATTTATAAGTATTGCAACTCTTTTAAGTAAAAAGAACCTTTGATAAACTTTTCACTGATTTGCTTACCGGAAAACCTCAAGGGGAGCTAAGACAGTAGCAATGATTTCCCCAGAATGAGGCAACACAGTTGTGGAGGTAACTGAGATCTGGATAGTCCAAGCAAAGCGCAGTATCACATCCTCGATGATGGCACAGTAGTAGTAGGCCTGAGGGACAACAAGCAAAGGGAGTATGCTGATTGTCATGCTTCTCACAAATAAGCAGAACTATGACAGCAACAAGGAAATTCTCACATGGCCGACCAGTGAGCATAGGCTAAAGAGGAATAGGAGTTATATTCTTTTTTTTTTAACAGAGAAGTACGTGTTTTATTTTAGAATGATATCCACTAATTTCATTTTTCCTTGAAAGGTACAATATTCAAAACAAAGTTTTACTGAAGTATTCATTTGTTGTTGTCGTTAGGTGCCGTTGAGTCGTCTCCAGCTCATAGCGACCCTATGCATAGCAGAACAAAACACTGCCTGGTCCTGTGCCAGCCTCATGATCTTTGCTATACCTGAACCCATTTTTGCAGCCACTGTGTCTATCCATCTCATTGAAGGCCTTCCCTTCTTCACTGGCCCTCCAATCTACCAAGCATGATATCTTTCTCCAGGGAATGGTTCCTTCCGACAGCATGACCAAAGTAGGTGAGACCAAGTCTGTCCATTCTTGCTTCCAAGAAGCATTCTGGCTGCACTTCCTCCGGGACAAATTTGTTAGTCCTTTTGGCAGACAATGGTACTCTTAGCATTCTTCTCCAATAACACAACTCAAAAAGCATCAGCTCTTCTTCGGTCTTCCTTATTTATTCATTTAACAAACACATTTTACTCCCATATTGTATACTAAGCTCTTGTCTAGACCCCAGAAATACAAGTCAGATGAGATTCTTAATCTGTGGTTAAAACAAAACAAAACAAAAAAAAACAAATTCACCACCATGAAGTCAGTCCCAACTCATAGTGACCCCTCCTTGGGTTTCCGAGGTGGTATCTCTACAGAAGTAGATCGTCCAGTCTTCCTTCTGAGGAGTGGCTGGTGGGTTTGAACCACCAGCCTTCTGGTTAGCAGTCAAATGCCTTAGGTACTACGCCGCCAGAGCTTTCTGTGACTACATTCTAAAATTTGTATGATATGCAAATAATCTCCCAGTCAATATTAGAAAAAACTAGCAGACTTATTAACTCTATTACTTATACTTTTATTCTCAAATTGCTTTACTCTATATTTGATGGGAATTTTGCCTTGTTTTTGATGTCAATAAATGAAATTAAGCTTGGATTTCACAAATATAATTTTTAAAATGTTACATTTTTATATGGAACATGTTCAACTAATACTTTGAGGTACCCAGCACTTAGGAGTCCAGTTTTAGCTACATAAAAGTCTTAAGTACACACATTATCAACCAACCAGAACCATAATTCATGAATTTATCCATCATACATCTCTGGGAAATTAGCTCTTTAAACATATGCATTTGTATATCTAGGTTGTGACATCTTTTGGGAAACAGAATTGCTATGTATTAAGTCTTAGCACTTAGTTTATTTAAAAAAACCCTTTTAACAAAGTAATTGTAGTCAATGTTAAAAGGCAGTTAACAAATAGCAGTCCCATGGCCATCTTCTCTTCCTGTACCTTATATTTTCAACACTATTTCTTCCAGTGCCTTTCATATTTCAAAAAAGTGTGGGTATGCTGTTCTATTTTGATCTATCAATTTCAGACACTACTCATTGGCTGCTTAGTATGATATATGAGGATTTTAACACACTAATGCATCTCCTTGTTCCCTTACCCATCCTCCCAATATAGCAAAAATTCAAGTTTTAGATAAACATATTCAGTGTATTCATTATTAGGTTTATATAAAGAACTGCAATTTCATGTGCCTTTCAGAGTCAGTCTTAAGCTGATCCATATTTGACTGAGATGGGAAGTGATGTTACCTAAAATGTGAGTCTTTTGAGAAGAATGCACTCAACTTGAATTAAGAGACACAAAAAAGTTACATTTTAATAGGGAGATAATAAAAATGATTCCTGGACCTGAAATATGGTGTTCAATATTACATATTGTTCATCCTTAAGAACTGATTTTAATGTTTATCTAGTTATGCTCTTAATTTTTAAATGATCCTCTACTGGAGTCCATACATGGTTTCTTCCCTTTTAAGGCTGGATCGATTTTATTTCAATATTAGCCTTTTTAAAATCGACAGGGATTTCTTTGGTAATCCACCAGAACATTTTTTTCTTATTTATTTGGAAATTATAATGTAGGAAAGCATACATTTATCTTGTAGGGTCATGAAAACATATAATAAGGAAAATGACTGCAAGATTCTACTACTAATTTTGTTACATGGAAACCAAAAAGAACTATTTAAAAGGGGAATGGGGCAACATTTATATAAAGACACCAACAGTTTATGTCAGCAACTATCACAGTAAGAAACAAATGTATTATATCTCTCAGTAAACCAAGAGCAAGGAGCTCAGAGGTGAGCTCAAAAGGACTGAATGACCTAAGCTCATGAATGCGCTTGTGATTACCATTGTTGCTCATTGCCATCGAGTTGATTCTGACTCACTGTGGCCCCACGTGTGCAGAGGAGAACTGCTCCACAGGGTTGTCAAGACTATAACCTTTTGGAAGGAGACTGCCAGGCCTGTCTTCTGAGGTGCCTCTGGGTGGGTTCCAACCACCAGCCATTAGCTAGTAGTTGAGTGCTTAACCATTTGCACCACCCAGGGACTGATTTTCTTTTCAAATCAGATTGAAAAAGATATGCTTAATGTCTTGGTCACATAGCCTACATTTACACATTGTATTATTGGTATAAAACCAAAACCAAAACCATTGCCATTGAGTTGATTCCAACTCATAGTGACCCTGTAGGACAGCTGAATGCTTTAACCACTGCACAACCAGAGCTCCTTATTATTGCTATATAAAGCTCAGGCTGAAAAAAAATAAAAGATCATTGCTAATGAATACTTATTCTTCTACCATATTTGCTCATTTGAAGTTAACCTACTATCATTTCTTTGTATTCATTCTCCTATCACTTATCTTCAGCCCTCATGCTTGGAAACAGATGTGCCCAGTCACCAATTGAGTATTACACATTAACACATCTTCCAAAGTATAATTTTGAGTATTGGAGACATTATGACATAGTATATCCAATCCATCCCCCCACCACAGAAATTGAGAATTGGTAAAGGATCAAAGAGATAATCTAGTCCAACACTTTCCCTTTAGAAGAGAGTTCACTGTAGTTGTAGTTAGTGAGAGAGCTGGATATATATATATATATTAGAACTCATTATCAGAATTATTAGTTCAATGTTTAATTCAATTGCTTTCCAAGGTCATGGTACTTATCCTTTCCTAAAACATCTGAAGGAGCTCTGGTGGTGTAGTGGTTAAAGCATTCACCTGCTAACCAAAAGGTCAGCAGTTCAAACCCACTAGCTGTTCCACAGGAGAAAGATGAGGCAGGAAACCCTGCTTTATAGGGTCACTATGAGTTGGAATTGACCTGATGGTAGTGGGTTTTGTTTCAAAACATCTAAGTAGAGACACTTTCAATCTTCTACTTAAAAAAATTTAGTCTCTCTCTTCCTTTTATTTATATACAGATAAAATCCTAACATAATTTCTAAGGTATTGTGTCTACTTTTTCTGATTGAATTGGCATTTGACCAAAACAAATATTGATTAGAATAAATGAAAGGAGAAGCCAAGCAGAGTCATGCATTCCCTTTCCTGCCTGCTTCAAAATACTACTCACTCACTTAAATATCTATTCATTTTCACAGAGTTATTAAATCTGCTATATGCCAGGAATTATGCTGGGCAGTGAGGGAGGTGGAAACCTAAGCAGATGATTGTAATACAATGTCAATTGCTACATTGGAAACTGACTCTTAAAAAGGAGAATCAGGCATTTGCAAGGCAGACAAAGGGGAGAGAGGGCTTTTTAGACGAATTGCAAAGTTTAAAAACAAATGATAAATTACAACAATTTATTCTTCTTCTCTTCTGGTCTTATCACATTGTATCCGTTTATTTGTTTAGCACACATTTTACAGCCTCCTTAGGAACCAGAATTTTCCTGTTTTTATTTCCTATAGCCAGGAACCAGCTGTTGCAATTTCATGTGCATCACAGTACAACTGTGCTCCACAAGGTTTTCAGTGGCTGCTTTTCTGGAAGTAGACTGTCAGCTTTTTTTCTGAAGTCCCTCTGCATAGACTCACACTTTTCCATAGTGTCTAGCACAGAGTAAACATCGGATCCATTTTTGCTGACTGAATGAATTTTAATTTTTAATAGCTACTGTAATTTTTTTTTTTATTATATTAAGTTTGGATGGGCTCTGTATTGCAGTAGGATTTAGCTGGCTGAACACTTGAGTTTCCAAACACAGACATTCTGTGTACATACTTTTTGCGGGTAGACAATCTCTTCTCGGAGGAAGGTGTTTTCTCCAGCATTCTTATCAAAGAGACCCCAGTCCATTTTCAGATCCCAGATGAGGGTATAGCAGGAACTGATGATGCAAAAGACAATCCACAGGTAAAAGAATACCATGGTGTCTGAGTGATTTCGTTCTGAAGGAATAAAAAGGGAAAAAGAAAATAGAAAATAATTGTATTTAAGTAAAATTCTTCATTACATATAACTGATTGAAAAACAGATTCTTTATAGAACTCTACAAAGAAAGGAAGACTTAAAAGAAATCTCCTTAGGAGGAGGTTAAATAATAAATACTAAAAAACCAAACCCACTACTGTTGAGTCAATTGACTCATGGTGACCCCATGCATGTCAGGGTACAACTGCACGCTATAGGCTGTAATCTTATGGAAGCAGATCACCAGGCCTGTCTTCCAAGGTGCTGCTGGGTGGGTTCAAATGACCAAACTTTCACTTAGTAGCTGAGCACAAACTGTGACACTTAAAAGAGAAATAACAAAAGTTAAATAATAAATATGATTCCCTTAAAGTTCAAACTAATTACCACATGTTTATCAAATACATAATATCTGCTCAGATGTTCACTTGGGGTTTTGGAGATCTATGTACAATACATAAAAATCCAAATAATTGTGACAGAAGTTTTCAATGTTACAAAAGATGTCATTTTAATTTTTACCACAAGGTGGCAGTTTGATTGGGGTGTGTGTATGTGAGGGAAAGTCCTGAACCACTAACAAGGAATGTGTTGCCTTTGCTTCAAAAAATTCTTGGATTGTTTTTACTTTAGAATAGCGTTTCCTGCACACAACTAGATTTTGTCCATATTTTACTGCAAAAGCAATCAGATAATTCAAATTCTAGATGAAATACCAGAAAGACTAATGAGGAATTTATCCTTAAGAGCATATATGAAAGCAAATTTCTCTCAAGTTACAAAGCAAAGCATGACAGCCTTATTTCTTTTAGAGGTAGCTCTGGTAGGGTAGTGCCTAAGGCACTTGACTGCTAACCAGAAGGCTGGCGGTTCAAACCCACCAGCCACTCCCCAGAAGGAAAATGGGGCAATCTACTTCCGTAGTGATACTGCCTCGGAAACCCAAGGGAGGATCACTATGAGTCGGGTCCGACTCGATGGCACATAACAACAACAAATTGATTTAAAGGCCTCATTTCACTCAATGGTAGGAAAATTATAAAGCATCATTTGATATTACACTGAAAGCACTGTAAAAGTGTAATAAACGCAGATTAATAAAAGTAACTCACAAACTTATTTATATAATTTAATCTTTTTGGTCTTTCAGGTATTCTCTGATGAAATTTCTCTTTGGTAAAGTTACAGACTCATCATGATGTTATTCTTTAGGTGCAGGACATAAGTATACAACTGCTAATATGGTTCTGACTCAACAGGAAAAAGGCACAAAACATACAACTCAAACAAAGTTTAAATTTCAGATGGTTTCTGAAGGCACAGAAACACTCCACTTTAAAAAAAAATGTAAAATACTGAAAAAAGAAAAATAGAGTAAGGATATATCACCAATAATCAATAATGCATTTATTAATTATTTTTTAGGTATTAATGTGTTAGGTGCAGGATGACTCAAAAACACACTTTATAAATTATAGATCCAATGAGTGAAACAAACATAATTAATGATATTTAGTGTTCAAACTAAAAAGTATAAACAAAGTACTAGGAGAGTATAAAGGAAAATGGGAATGTTCCCCACAATAGGAAATAAGAGGAAACAGTATTTGAGTTATTTCTAGAAGGATAAATGAATAGTATTGCAAAAGTCAGGCAGATGAGGCAAGGTCATTTAAGGCTGAAGGAAGATAACAAAGAGGCGTGGGAGTGGGAAGTGCATGATGTGCCTGAGAAGCTGCAAATAATCTAAATTTTATGTATGTGAAATATAGAGGATGCATGGGGACGAGTATGAGTTGAAATGAGGCTGGAAAAGAAATTTTGGATCTGACTGTGGAATGCCTTATTGGGCTTTATAGTCAGATCTGTATATTACAAAAAGAAGTGGTTGCTTGCATCAGTATTGCTTAATTAGTTTAAAATAAAAAAAAAAAAAAAAAAGAGAAAACAAAACAGGTATCATATAGCTCCAGTGTGGTATGAAAAGTCATATTAGCATATGAGAGCTGACTGTAAAATTTTCAGAAAATCTGTAAGCTGATTGCTAAATTCAGCCATAATTTAAAAAATTATATAAACTTACAATTAATATTAAAAAACAAAGGTAATAAATACTCAAAATTCTCTACTTCCTAATTATTTTACTATTATCTGTTCTCTTGAGATTATGTATGTTAGTGTATCTGTATGATGGAAATACTTTGTTTAGTATTGCTATAACAGAAATATCACAAGTGGATGGCTTTAACAAACAGAAATTTACTCTCTCACAGTTTAATGAAATGTACTGCCGTCGAGTTAAATCCAACTCATAGCGACACCTCCTTGGGTTTTTGGGGCGTTATCACTACAGAAGTAGATTGCCCAACCTTCCTTCCAAGAAGCAACTGGTGGGTTTGAACTGCCAGTCTTCTGGTAAGCAGTCAAATGCCTTAGGCACTACGCCACCAGAGCTCCCTCACAGTTTAGGACGCTAGAAGCCCAAATTCAAGGTGTCAGCTCTAGAGAAAAGGTTTCTTTCTCTGTTGGCTCTGGGGGAAGGTTCTTGTCTCCTTTTAACATTTGTGGGCCTGGCGTTCCTTGGAGATTCCACGTGTTTTGGCATCAATTTTACCCAGGGTTTAGGAGGTTCTCAGCACAGGGACCCCAAGTCCAAAGGATGCGCTCTGCTCCTAGCTCTTCTTTCTTGGTGATAGTAGGTCCTCTTCTTGCTGGCTTCTCTCTCCTTTCATCTCTTGTAAGATAAAAGGTGATGCAAGTGAAACTCCAGAGAAACTCCCCTTTTATCACATCATGGCTGTGACCTGAGCAAGGGTGTTACATCTCACCCTAATTCTGTCTCATTAACATAACAAACATAACCTAATCCTCACTGTTGCTGTGGTTAGGTGCCATCCAATCAGCTTCTACTCAAAGCAACCTTATGTACAGCAGAAACACTACCCAGTCCTGTGCCAGCCTCACAATCCTTGCCATACTTGAGCCCACTGTTGCAGCCATTGTGTCAGTTCATCTCATTGAGGATCTTCCCCTTTTTTGCTGACCCTCCACTTTACCAAGCATGACATCCTTATTCAGGGAATGGTTCCTTCTGACAACACAACCAAAGATGAAGTCTGGCCATTCTTGCTTCCAAGAAGCATTCTTGCTATACTTCTTCCAGGACAGATTTGTTTATTCTTTATTAACATAACCTAATCCTGCCCCATTAATGCATAGAGGTCAGGATTTATAACATGTCACAAAATGGAGGACAACCAAACAACACTGGGAATCATGGTCTACCCAAGTGGGCACTATTTTTGGGGGACACAAGTCAGTTCATGACACTATATAATGACGTGCTACTGTGCATCTTTAATCAACTTAGAATTCAGTGTTATCATCTTAGAAGCTTAAAACTGACCGTGATGGAAGTATTTAGCATCATGGAACTCAGCAAACAGTAAAAATCAATGCCTCCCACACTCATCAAAGAGTTGATTCCTTAAACATTTCCCAGCATAACACTACTGATTTCCCAGCATATCACTACTCCGTTCCTTCTCCTAAAAAGTTAGTGGAGGGGAACAGAAACTGATACTTTCAAAAAGGTCCATAAGTGATTCTAATGAGCAGTGAAGCTTGGATACAATCATGTTTTCATGTTTCAACTACTGCCACAGAAACTTTTCTCTTTCAAAAGCAAAGCACTCACTGGGTTGAGTAATACGCTATAACACTGCATTATAAGAATTAACAATTTAAAAGGCCTAACGAAATAAATGTGTTTTGACACATCTATTTATTTCATACAGTGGACAGATAACAGGGTCTAATTGAGTACTGTCATTCAGTAGTTAGTATCATGGTCGCATTAAAAATTTTCCATTAACTTATCTACTAAGGATTGCAAAGATAATACAAATCAAGCAACCTGATTAAATTCATACTCTTATTTGCATATTTAAAAGCAAGACTGATACAAAAAGATAAAGACAAGCAACTCAACTATAAATAGTACTAGCAACTTTTAAAAATTGAGTGCTCACTATGTGATAGGTACTTTACATTATCTTATTTAATTTCCTAACAATACACTACTGTTTTGTTTGCTACTAAAAGTAAGGACATAAGAAGAAATTAACAGATACCTTCTGTAGGAGGTTAGGAGTTCTGGTGGAGTAGTGCCTAAGGCATTTGACTGCTAACCAGAAGGTTGGCGGTTCAAACCCACCAGTCACTCCGTGGAAGAAGACTGCAATCTACTTCCACAAAGATTTACCGCCTTGGAAACCCAAAGGGGGTTGCTATGAATCAGAATCGACTTGATGGCAGGGAGTTTTTATTTTTTCTGTAGGAGGTGACAAAATGAGTATTTTTCAAGTGAGCAGAGAAGTCTTATTACTAAAAGCTGATTTTCTTGCATTCCTTCCTAATTACTGATTGAAAATATTATATTAAAAAAAGATTGGAGGAATGAAAAAAAAAATCACTAATTAAAAACAATGTGCCGATTTTCTGCTATTTTCCCTAGATTTTAAGTACAAGTCCTATCCTTGCAGTATATAATTCAGAAAATGGTACAATGGGTCAAGTGCTCCCCTTTTTTCCAAGCCTTTACTATCTCTATGAAATTTCTATGAAACATACATGAAGACTTACTGACTTAAAAAAATAAAAACCACACCAGAATATTTCTGAGTTAAGTAATGTTTTATTTTATGGACTTCTTCGAATAATGCATAGCATACTCCTTGTCTACATATATTACAATTTATTCTCATTTTAATTATTCACTTTTTTGATCTTTATTATCTCTCTGAAATCATCTGCCTTCATTGGTATTCAAGGGATGAACTGGAAAGATATTATCACCTTAGGCAAGCAATTATATCTTTTTCTGTCTTGGCTAACCTTGGTAGCCCACTTTAGTGATGTTCAGAATTATAGACAAGCAAAGCATTGCTAGTCTACATTAAGCTTCCTAGCTATTAAA